TGGTCCGTATCTGCAACCGGGCGTAGATCCTAAGACACAGATGTACCAGTGCGTTGAGGGTCGGAGGGATATCAACCCAGACCAGCTCATCCTGCAACTCCTCCGATAAGCCATCCTGGAATGCATCCATGAGGGCCGCCTCATTCCAGGCCGAATCCTGGCTAAGCAGCCGAAACTCACTGATATATTCCTGCAGCGGTTTCCGGCCCTGCTTCAGGGTCTTCAGTCATCTGGTGGCAGTCTGCATTTTGATGGGGTCTTTGTACATAAGTCTGAGATGCTCATACAACCTCCTGAAATCGTCCAACAGAGGACTAGCCTGGACCAGCAGGGAACCCCCTGAAATCATCCAACAGAGAACTAGCCTGGACCAGCAGGGGCGTGGCCCAGTGAGCTGCAGAGCTGGAGAGCAGGCTGAGTACAAACCCTACTTTATCCCAGTCAGTGGGGAAGTCCTCCGTTCTCAGGCTGATAAAAAGCTGGCATTGTCCCATAAAAGCAGGAAACATGGATTGAGTGCCGTCAAACTTGTCTGGCATGGCAACATGACATCTTCTACGGGGAAGGGGAGAAGCTGGAGCTTGGAGCTGAGCCATCTGTGTAGCTAACAAAGTTACTTGTTGCTGAAGCTGTGTGTTCTCGGCATGGAGCTGCTCCATTATGATAGAGGTTTGTTAATAATTATCCTTGTTGGGCCGGAAAACAAACTGTTGTGACCCAGGCCCAAGTAGTTAGTATTAAATACAAACAGTTCGAAAACAAACAGACTTTATTAGAACATCTGAGAATTAATTCATTCTCAGCATAGTCCAAACTAAATTAAAGCAAATTCTTCAAAACACCATTCCACAGTTTATCACCTGACCTTGGGATGATTAGGCAAACTGCCAAAGGCTTTTCTTGGCAAAAGTTCAGAAGCAGAAAACGTTGACAAGAAATGAATACAATGAAACAAGAACCAATTCTCTCAATGTTGTTTTCCGGCAAAGAGGCCAAGAACCGTTGCTGGTTTTTTAAGCCTTCTGGGAGGGGCCAATAATCTCTTAGCCCTACTCCCAAGTTGTCTTCTCTGCTTTATCTGCTCCTGCCTTCTGGCAGCTCTTCTCCTACGTGCACTAGGAACAGGCTCCTCCTGTTCCTCTGGCTCTCTACTATCAGTCTCTGGAGGCTCCAAAGTCCGCACATCACTTCCCGATGGCCCTGGCCCTATCTCTGCCTCTGATGCAGAGCCCTCATCTGGGCCTTCCCCAGCCTCCAGGACTGGCCCATGTTCTTCCTCAGCCTCATCGCTGTCCAACTCCGCTGCCAGCTCCGCAGGCTGCTGGTGGACCACAACACAGCCTATGTTCTTTGCCTTGCCACGTCACTAGCAAGCCTTCTGGGATAAGCCAGCGGAACATTATTTTATATTTCACAAGTTGAGAGGAGAGAAAGTTGTAGTTTCACCTTTGCTTCCTTACTCTCCTAGGTATTTGTTTGAGTGTCAGTATCTCTTTCCCTTTACATATCAGCGATGAGTCCTGTGTTCTTCTATAAATTTCGTCCCTCACGTGGCAACTTACATCGCCGTGCATAGTTCGTATGCACTCTGTACACTCAATACCATTTTGCAAATCAATCCTATTCATTCTCAAATTATCAGCCAACAACTCAATCATAAGATTCAGGAGGTCTTTTCTTTATTTTCTAATATATTTTGGAATCTTAGGTAGAATGCAGATTTGTTCATTTCCAGATATGTTATCGCCTCTTCAAGCTCTCGGTTCGTTGCCATCAGTTTTTTTTTGTCTCCTCTAGTTTTTTCTATGTCTGTTCCATTCTTACTTCCACAGTTTTTATTCTTTGCTCATTTTTGGCAATTGTCTCTCGTATTTCTCTCATTCTATCATCTAGTTTTCTAACATCCTCTTTTACTTCACCCATGTCGTTCTTTAGTTCCTCATGTTTTTTTCCAATCGATTCTTGGGTTTTCAGCATCACCTCCTGAATCATATTTAGAGTTGTCTGCATACTTTGTAAATTCACTGCCGACCCTGTCTTCTCGCCTCTCAGCATATCTCCTATCAATTTCTGTCCTGCTGGAGGGGCAGTCATTTGCGTAATTTTCTTTGCAGTTTTTGTAGTTGTTACTGTACTTGTCATATCCAGTTTCCCAAAAAATTTCTTTCACAATACCATAAAATATCTAATTCCTTTCTCCTCCAGAAGCTATCTTTCCAGTAACAATTCTTAAGTATTTCTTGCTTCTATAATCTTACTCACCTAGTTTACCATCAACTAGATTTTACAGTTAGTTAAGTAAGATAATCAACTCGTTAGATAATATAATTAATTATATAATTAATTCTACCATTCTATTCCACCAACTTTCACTCTAATTTAACAATACCTAAATAGACTAAAATATAATACCTCAAAGACAAGAAGAGAAAAAAATCAAAGTATAAATTAATTAGCACTATTTAAAACTAATTTTTATCAATCAAATTCAATACAATAAATTTAATCTGTAAATTTTATAAATTTAATAGATTAGTGAGTTATACTAAATCAATCAATTAGATGTTGAATAATAACAATAAATATAATAAAAAAGTCTAAGTATATACTTTGATATTTGCTATTAGATAATCAATATAAATAATATACACATCTGGCCACTGATCTTCCCAGTCCAAAATCTTCTGCTGGTTTTAAGCAATTCTTTCACTCTCCTACTTCGTTACACTGTCCACAGCTCTTCCGTTTTTTACTTTCTAGGTCCTAAGTCCAATATGTCCGCTCTTGCTAATATGCACTGTCACTGTCTCTTCACTCTCCAAACCTTGTCTTTTCAGTTTTAGTGTCCACAATCTCTAGTCATTCACTCCCAATCACCACAGGTTCAAACACAATCTTTCTTTCTCACCAGTTACAATGTTCTTTCTTTTCCTATCAACTCTTCTGATCACCCTCTTTTCTCTTGTCAACCTTCTTCCCAGACTTTTGCTCCACCGCCAAAGCACCGTATTTTCTCTCTTTGGAGGCTCACTTATCAATCAATTTGTAAATTCCAGTAGATTAGGGAAGCAGTTCAGTAACTCACTCTGTCCTGTCTCTAGCCACTGATACTTCTCGCTGCTTTTCACTCCTTGCTTTCACTCCTTGGTAAGCTGCCACGTCTCCGGATCTGACCATTACAGCCAGTCTCTTTCGTGCCGAAATTCAAGGGGTTCCTCTTTCCGTAACGGGAGATCACGCTTCTCCCCATTACCCCAAAAGTGTCCCCTCTACAGAACTGACCCCTCCAAGGTTGGGTCTTGCCTCTACCGGCTTCCAGGCGCGAAAATTCACTCCAAGAAAATGGGGCTCAGTTTTCCTAAACCTCAACACCGTGACGTCACCCATATCTTGGGTCATTCTTAAGTGCCCCCATTCAAATCCAGGGGGGCAGGGCCACCAAAGAACCAGTTCTGGCAGTCAACACAGTAGATTGTGGGTAAGAGAAAAAAAAAAGCCCTCACCCTTGAACAGTCATTTTGGGGAGGAACTTAAATCCACTATCTCAAAAAGACTTTGGGTGGGTGTATAACACATTAAAATTATCATTATTTCATAGGAATGAATCAAAGTATAAAAACCAACAAATCAACACTTTCCGGAGATAAAATAAAATTTAGATAGGGTTGAAGTTTCAAATGAAATTATTTCAGTCTGGCAAGATACTGCCTGATATAATCTGAGGTTGCTATATAGGGCATTACAGGTAGTCCTTGATTTACAACCACAATTGAGCCCAAAATTTCTGTTGTTAAGTAAGACATTTGTTAAGTGAGTTTTGCCCCATTTTGCGACCTTTCTTGCCACAGTTGTTAAGTTAATCACTGCAGTTGTTTAGTAACATGATTGTTAAGTGAATCTGGCTTCCCCACTGACTTTGCTTGTTAGAATATCACAAAAGGTGATCACATGTCACCAGGACACTGCAACTGTTGTAAATATGAGTCAGTTAACAAGCATCTGAATTTTGATCAAGTGACCTTGGGGATGCTTCAACAGTTGTGTGAAAAATGGTCATAAGCTACTTTTTTCAATTCTGTTGTAACTTTGAACCATCACTAAATGAATTGTTGTAAATCAAGACTACCTGTACTAGCAGTTTGAAATGGGCCGAGAAATCTATTGGTATCCAGTGCATTAACTTTCAAGAGATCTAACCCTGCCTGCAATGGCAGGCCTGAACTAACAATAATCTTGTCATCACACCATATTCCAGTTGAAACTTTTGGGTGAACTTCAAACGCTGTGCCAGATAGATTAAAGTAATTAATTAAGTTGTTACAATAATAGAGGTCAGTGAAGATGAAGGTATGAGTGAGTGCCAGAATATCTTTATGGTAGTCAAAGTTGATCAAAGGGCTACTCCCTGTTATTCTCCCCCCCACCCCCCAGTTTAAGTAATAGCCACAAATCCAGGTGGAGCCTTAAGTCATGCATTAACTCAGTGGTGAAATGTAAAATTTGTTACTATTGGTTCTGTGAGTGTAGCTTGGTGGGGTGGGGGTAATGTGACTGGGTGGGCATGGCCAACTTTTTTTTTTTTTTTTACTTTTAAAAGCATTTTTTCTACAACCTTAAGAGGTTGCAGAAAAAAATGCTTTTAAAAGCCTCTGACGATCCCAGCTGAGTTGCCTGATTGTCAGAGGCTTTTAAAAACATTTTTTTCTGCAACCTCTTCAACTGAAGAGGTTGTAGAAAAAAAAATGCCTTTAAAAGCCTCTGGCGATCCCAGCTGAGTTGCCTGATCATCAGAGCCTTTTCAAAGCATTTTTTTCTGCAACCTCTTTGGCCAAAAAAATGCTTTTAAAAGTAAAAAAATAAGCCTCTGATGATCGCGTGGCTCAGCTGGGATCGTCAGAAGCTTTTAAAAGCATTTTTTTCACAACCTCTTCGAAGATCACAGGTTGTCTAGCTATTTAAAATAAAAGTTTTGTATGTGAACTGTGAAAAATAAGATTTACCTGTTTTTCTGAGTGGAAAATCATCTTTGGAATCATACATTCCTAATACAGGGTGATTGTAACCGCCTGACATTCCACTCTGTGGTGGAGAGCTCTGATCAAGAGAACTATGTTGTGTTTTCCTAAAAAAATAAAGTGTATACAGGTTAAGAATAATATCTCCAATAATATCTCCATACTGATGTCTCCAAATCACATTTCTGTTCTTTTGTGCTCCACTAACATACAATTAATATGTCTCCAATTCTGTACACATTGTTAGAAATACATTTTACAACTGACAATGAACATCATTTTTTAATTTAATTAATTGAAACTTTCAGCATTTTACAGCTAACATTTTATAGCATTTTAGAACTAATACTTATTCAGTTATTATTTCATTTCATTTTAACATATTTCTAACCTGTTTTTTTTTGCCCCAGTACACTAATGTATTTCTCACTCCTTCAAACCATATGATTACATGTTTGTTATAGTAGCATTTATATGGCTTTTACATTTTCTATAGTTTTCAAGGCAGCATTCAGGGTTTTGGCTTTGATATTGGATATTGGCTTTGATTTTTAAAGTCTGAAACAGCTTATGCCTGTATTTCTGTTTCTAAATCTGCTTTTTTGACATCTCAAGGAGTATGACATAATAAAAGCATTAAAATATAAAAGTTACAATGTAAATGTCAAAACACAGTAATATCTTGAACTTTTTTCAATTTCCAGTGAAAAATCATGGTGAACTGACATCCTGCTGATATTGGGATTGCTGGATTGCAAGGAGAATCACAGCTGGATGTTGGATCTGAATTGCCAAAATCTCTTTGGACGAAGGAGAGATTGTTGACATAATACATGTGAGAAATCAAGGATTTGGCTTGTTTGATAAAGGTTAAAATAGAAAATTTGCAATATATGGTTTCCTTTACTGGACTTTTCCTGTCAAAGAACAAATGATAGAGCATTTTGATTTTTAGTCAAGGGATAAGTTATGGGGTAAAGAGAGTTTGTTAGATTTAGAGATGATGATAAGCTATTAAAATTGTTTCTACCTACTGGGATGAAGGGGGAAGTTATCCTCCTTTTTTCAGTTTTTTTCTCTTTTTTATACTTACCTTTTTGTAATTTTATTTTTGCATTTTTGTAGTCTGTATTACACATCCTTTTATTTTTTCTGTTTGTAATTATTCATAAAATTATTTGGAAAAAAAAATCACATAGCCACATCTTAATAACACAATTCCACGTTATACTCATCAACTCAAAATGACATGCAATGTTGAAACAGTACCACCATTCATTTCAGTTATCCAGTCTTCATTTCACAGTCCAAATGTTCTTTAGAAGATATTGATAATTTCCTAAATATCAACTAAATTCCAGCAACCTGAAATTAAGGAGAAACTTCCTAACAGTGAGGACAATTAACCATTGGAACAGCTTGCCTTCAGAAATTGTGGGAGCTCCATCACTGGAGTTTTTTAAGAAGAATCTAGACAGTCACTTATCTGAAATAGTATAGGTTCTCCTGCTTAAACAGGGGGCTGGACTAATAGACCTCCAAGGTTCCTTCCAGCTCATTCATTCTATTCTAACATGCAAAACTTGTATCTGGTAGTAGTCTCCCACAAGAGGAAAAACCCTAAAGAAAGGGCCCATCTTCATATACGTCCTACTACACCTCATGTAGCAGATATTCTCTTACTTGGATGGGCAAATTCTGTAACTTACCAGGTCCATAGCCATGAAAGAATTTAAACGTAGTAAACCTGATAACCAGCACCATAAAATGTACTAGAAAGTAGTGCTTGGGATCCTGGAGTTATATGACTATATGAGGTAGTTTTTATGGGCAACAAATAAGCAGCTGCATTTTGCATCAGTTGTAGTTTGTGGGTGATCTTCAAGGGAAAACCAAACATAAAATGACAAGAGCCCAAATGTCTGTGGCTCGTTCTTCCCATGTTTTGTTATTTCCTTCAATATAGCAATAGCACTTCTGGCAGAAGATAGCCCCTTGCTTGTACTTTTTCTTTTGGTCTACTACAGATTCTGCACAGTTTTATACTTACAATGCTTTCTAAGTCAGAAGAAACTTCCCTGGGAAAGGGGAAACTCTGAAAATCAACCCTCTCGCTCCCCCAAATAGCTAGACATTCTCAGAGTGCTTTTGAAGAAGTAATTAGTCTCTGAAGAAGAAGGTGAGTCTCTGGTTAGGGGAGGGGCAACCAAGAAGCAAGTTCATTGTGGAAGAACCAACATTTTAAAATGGACAATAAAGTGTGCCACCCCTTCTTAGACGCTAACTTTTTATATATTTATCTTTTGTGTTAAAAGAGGCATCCTCTGGCTGTAGCCTGCTTTTTCCTTTTTGTTGTCATTTACAAAGCTCTGTGATTTTAAGATGGTGAGGAGGGAAGGAGTTGGTGTATCTGAACCAAAATACAGAAGCTAGAAATTACATTTGAAACTTTTGGACTTAAAATTTTCTAGAGGATGTTATATTTTTAATTGACTCTGCATGTTTTTTAAAACAAGGATTGCCTGAATGGTGTTTTGATCTTGCTGTGAGGAGGGGAAGAAACTTCCGATTTTACTTGCTTTTGATTGGACTAGTTGTGTGGGCTGTTAAACAAAGAGGCAGACACCAAGTTCTTTTTTGCAGCTTATAATACAGTGGTATTGTTTGACCTCAAGAGGGAGCCAAAAGACTGTAGTATTGCCAATCTTTTTTAATTCGCCAACAGCATCATTTAATCCATTGGATTTTATGTTATAAATCTACAAGTCTAAAACTCTTAACTTTAAAATCTAAGCTTTAGCTATACTCTGATGGGATGGTTATGTGTATGTTGTGGCCCCGCCCTCTGAGCCTGTCCCATCAGAGGAAGAAAGCTCCGAGCATGAGGAAGAGGAGTCAGCCAGGCCTCCCTCTCCAGGCCCCTCCCCTCTGGCATTGTCTCAGGTGCCGGCCGAGGGAGAGGAGATTAGCAGGGAGACAGGTGGCTCGGATCAGAGTGACGGAGAAACATCATTCCTGGACGCACGCCTCCGAAGGCATGATAAACGATTGCAGCAGCTCAGGAGGCGTGCTAGGGATTAGAACTGAGTCACTGGACCACACCCCAGAGACTATATAATAGAGGGTGGTGGTCAGTGATCCTTGTGACGAACAAAACTAACCTTGGATAGTCACTAAAGCCTCGTTCGGAACTGCTGAGAGAAATATTTATTGTTGTCGGACATTTGGAAGCTGAGTATTTATCTTTCTGTTTTTCTGTGAAAATAAAGGCACTTGGCAGACGGTGTGTCTATTGCTGCCAAGTTGGAGATAAAGAAACTGGGTGTGTTCCAAAGTGTTTCCTTAACCCTCGGCTGGCTGTGTTTGTGTGTGTGTGTGGACGGGGACAGATCAGTGTAAGAGGATGCAGAAAATGAAAAGAGCCCTGGTGGCGCAGCAGACTAAAGCACTGTTATTAACATCAACTGCCTGCAATTACTGCAAGTTCAAATCTCACCAGGCTCAAGGTTGACTCAGCCTTCCATCCTTTCAAAGGTAGGTAAAATGAGGACCCAGATTGTGGGGGCAATAAACTGACTCTGTATAAATATATACAAAAGTATGAAGGCTATTGCTTAACACATTGTAAGCCACCCTGAGTCTCCGGAGAACGGCGGCATATAAATCAAATTTAAAAAAAAAAAGAGTATCAGGAGATACAGAATTTTAAGATCCTTTTTGGATGAATATAAACTTAAACACATGAACTAATTCAGGCAATGGGAACAAAGCTTGAATCCACTTTCAAAGGAACTCCGTGAGGAGATCCAACATTTGACTGGAGATATCTAACAGGTGAAGAATAGAGTGGATCTTATGGAGCACAAACTGAAGAAGAAAGATATTTTGTATCAAGCTGACCTGGATGAAAGAGTTATTTTGGAATCTCAGATTAAAGAGCTCCAATTAAGATTTCAAGCAATTCCTGAACAGTCTGGAGCAGGAGTATCAAACTTAAAGCCCGTGGGACTGGATCCAGCCCGCAGAGTGCTTAGATCTGGCCTGCGGGGCCGGCTTAGAAATTGCAAAGGACCAGCCTGCTGTGCCTCTACTAGCCAAAACGGTGCAGAGAGGGGCATCGCGTGGCCCCCCAAGCCCCATTTTGGCTGCCAGGGTGGTGGAGGCCATCCAGGCCCAAAACGGGACATGGGGTGGGGCATTGCACATCCCCCCCATGCCCCGATTTGGCTGCCAGGGTGGTGGAGGCCATCCAGGCCCAAAATGGGGCATGGAGGGCATCGTGTAGGCCCCCCATGTCTCATTTCAGCTGTCAGGGTGGTGGAGGCAGTCCAGGCCCAAAACAGGACACGGGGGGCATCACACCCTGTTTTGGCTGCCAGAGTGCTGCAGGAAAATAGTTGGGAAAGAAAATAGTTGGGAACACAGGCAGCAATCAGAATTGGTCAGGAAAGCATTTTTTTCCAAAAAAAAAAAAAAAAGAGGAGATGTCCAAAGAGAGCAAAGTCCAAATATAAGGTGCAGGGAGACACATTGTCACAGAAGAAATATGGATGGCTTAGGAATGAGAAAAGCAGTTTTAAAAAAGCAAACTGTGGACTGGATAACAAATTCCAGTTGCAAGGAAATCCCTCTTCCAGGGTCTATTTCTTAAGGCATTGAAATTGGGCACGATATTCTTTGCACTGGCAGGTTCAAGAGGTTTCTGAGTTGGGAAATTTTGACACCTAATTTTGCTTCACTGACAGTCGTTGAGAGGATTGGAAGACTTTTGATTTGGGGTCACAGAGGACAAGAAAAGGGATCCTTGAAGCTACATAGATTCAACTTTAGGCAGCTTTAATATATCTGAATTTTGCCTACAATTTGCCTACAAGGCAAGATGATCTTCTCCTTAGCAGCATTTCTTTCCTTTCTCTCATTCAGCCTTTTCCTAACCCCAACTTTTCACTGCACTTTCTAGTTTGGGCCCATTGTCATTTTTTCCTATAGCCAGAAGGATTTCTTTCCTTATTTCGGCAGTTCCCTTGGCTGCCTTTTCTGGGCTGAGTCTCCTTTTCTTTCTTCCTCTGGGGTTTCTCCTGCATCCTCCTGTTGTGACTTTTGCTTC